GGGAGAGAGAAAGGGAGAGAGAGAGAGAGAGAGAGAGAGAGCGAGAGAGAGAGACAGAGAGGGAGAGAGAGAGCGAGAGCGAGAGAGCGAGAGCGAGCGAGAGAGAGAGCGAGCAGAGGGAGGGTCACGATTTCATGACACACTATGCCATACTCGCATCTCCTGTTCGTGATGCATGCTGCCCTGCTAAGATCAGAACTGCTGGTCCCGAGCCCTGCCATCCATGTCGTCATCGATACGGCTCGGGACCACCCTGCAGGGATGCAAAGAATGGCGGGGACGGGAATGAGGACTTTCAAGTCTGCGGCAGTTGGTGAAGACCGATTCGAGCGCACTGCCTTCGAAAGCTACAACCAATGTCAGCTTTCTGCCGCTGCAGGCGCACCGCAGGCTTCGCTGGCGAAAGTCCTCAAGGCAGTCCGCTCTCGCTTCGCACACCCCTGCCCTCTCTCATGTTGCATAGACTGCCTCTGTCAAGTTACGACCTGCCGGCGCGAAAGCATTAGCAGGGCGGCTTTTGACATAGAGTCGGCGAGGGTGGCATCACATTGGAAGGAAGAACATGTTCTGCACAGGCGAGCAGCCGTCGGAGGCGCTGGCTGCACACCCCATGATCGGCGACGACCGGACTTCGATAGCAGCTAGACTAGATAAACAATTAGATTCTTGCACGTGCCCCAACCCTTGGTTTGCCAGAATTTGGGCCGACAAATCGCGGGAGGAGGATAATGTAGAGAGCGTCGCATATGCTTCGGGTCTGGAGATGTCTGGTCAGCAGTGACATGACATTCACAGCACGCGGAAGCCCGGGCCATCACGAGCTCGCCGGACTCCGATGCCTGACATGCGGACGGCTCTCCCTTAGACTCTTGGAGTGGGATGGCGCAAAGCTGAGACTCACACCGCGTCTCCCTCGTTCGGATCCGTAAGAAAAGTCCGATTCGGCAAAGGCGGCGGGTCGGGGGGTTGGGGTGGCTGTGCTCGGAGACGTGGTGGAGAGGGCACAGGTGGAAGAGCGCCCCGAGCGCGAGCGCTTTGAGTATCGGCTCCATCGTCCAGGGCTTGGGCCCAAGGCGGCTGGTGTTTTGGTGGTGCGCTTTGGTGTTGGCCAGCTGCCTCAACATCACGCCTTCGAGGCGGCGCCGCCTCAACGTCACGGCCTCGCCGCACACTGGCCTCTCCATGGAAGTCAGTTCTCGGCATCTTGGTCCCGAAACAACTGTTACTGCAATCACTTCATCACTGCTCTTGGCGGGCTAGGCTAGATTATTCGATGTGAAGCCTTTGAGACATGGCCTGGCTGAGGGCGAAGAGGTCGCCAAGGCGACCGTTCCTGGCGCGCCGCAGTGAAAAGAGGGCTTCAGTCGGAGCATTGTTTGGCTGCTGCCCAGCTACGCCGCGGAGACTGCACTGCTGGCGACTCCAGACGAGACCTGCAATGCAATGCAGGAAGCCCATGGCAACACGACCGCCCGAGAACCGATGCACTACTGGTTCCCGGCGTTTGTGAATGCATCTGAATCTCAAATCATATCAGATTTCAGCCCAATGATCCCGGATCCCTTGGCCCGCGGGCCGCGTCGGCTGCAGTCCGCGCTGCGGCCAGAAGGTCAGAGCCAGCCTCCGAGTCTTCGGCGGGCGGCGTGGTGACCTCTCTCCGCATTTACCCAATCATGGAGTTGACATCTTTCAGATTCGGTGTCCTCCAGAC